TACTTGCAATTTCTTGCTTTCGAACTGCTAGGTTGGCAGGAGCTGGAACTAGAGACGGGAGCTCACTCCATCATGCGGCACACTCAGGTCTCGAACTGCTGAACTACCGACCTTCTGCAGCCTGCAGTTCAGCGTCTTAACCACTTGAGCCACCGCAGCTCCTATAGGGTATATACTGATGATGAATATTTGAACAGCCAACCATCTTCTGTTTTCGAATATGATTAGGTATTGCCCAAGGGGTGAGGGAAGGGGGCTCTTGTTATCTGTCTAATAGGACCATAATTTACTCTTCAGAAGCTTTGAAAAGTTCCTGGAAAGGTCAGGTTTCATTTCCTATTAAGACATGCCCTGCTGGCTCACTGCTCCCATTCATTGATGCACAAGATCTGCTTCCCAGTAAGAACGCTGAACGTTCACATGATACTTAAAGAGTCTTCAGAGAGCTTTATTTTTTCATCTTAGTAATCCTTCACATTAATATTATTATAACAGTGGTGTAGAAAGAAGTGTGTGCATGTGAGGGGGAGGGAGTTGCCTAAGGCCACCTTGTTTCAAGGCAGAGGTAAGATTTGGAACAGGACTTCCCCAGGTTCACTGCCCACTCTCTAGGGAGTGTGAATTTCTTCCCACTTAAAGGTAAAGGTAAAGGTTTCCCTTGCTCGAAAGCCAGTCGAATCCGACTCTAGGGTTGCGGTGCTCATCTCCGTTTCAAAGCCGAAGAGCCAGCACTGTCCGAAGACGTTTCCGTGGTCATGTGGCTGGCATGACTAAACACCAAGGCACACGGAACGCTGTTACCTTCCCACCAAAGTGGTCCCTATTTATCTACTTGCAATTTCTTGCTTTCGAACTGCTAGGTTGGCAGGAGCTGGAACTACAGATGGGAGCTCACTCCGTCATGCGGCACCCTGGGTCTCGAACTGCTGAACTACCGACCTTCCACATCCTGCAGTTCAGCGTCTTAACCACTTGAGCCACCGCAGCTCAATAAATAAATAAAATAAGAATGGCTGGAAAAGGTAATATCACCAGTATTGCTGTTACAAATGGGTTGCTCTTATGTACATTAGACATCGAATAGCCCAGGCTGGCCCAGTCTTGTATGATCTTGGAAGCTAAGCAGGGCTGGCCCTGGTCAGCGTTTGGAAGGGAGGTCACCAAGGAATACCAGGGTAGTGACACGGAGGCAGACAATGGCTAACCATCTCTGCATGTCTCTTGCCTTGAAAATCCCACAAGGTCGCCATAACATAAGTCACCTGTGAATTGATGGCAGAAGAAGAAGAGATTGGATTTATACCCTGCCCTTCACTACCCGAAGGAGTCTCAGAGTGGCTTGCAACCTCCTTTCCCTCCCCACAACAGACACCCTGTGAGGTAGGTGGGGCTGAGAGAGCTCTTTCAAGAACTGCCCTTTCAAGGACAGCTCTTCTCAGAACTATGGCTTGCCCAAGGTCACACCAGTAGGTGCAAGTGGAGGAGTGGGGAATCAAACCCGGTTCTCCCAGATTAGAGTCCATGCACTTAACCACTGCACCAAACTGGCTGGACTAGGCCCAAGCCCATCAGAGCTTGGAAGCGAAGCAGGAGGTTGCCTATGGTTAGTACTTGAATGGAAGACGGGAATTGCTATGCCTAGACAGGCAACAGCAAACCTGTTCATCTCTTGCCTTGAAAGATTTTTTTTGGGGGGGGTGTCGCCATAGGGTTAGTTGCAACTTGACAGCATTTATTGATATCGATAGGTCTGATTTGTTGGTGCACAAACTGACCCTGATCAAACGCCTAGCTTCTGTGCTATTCAACTGCTGCTTTTGCTGGAACGTTTTGCTGCTCAAGGCTCTTTTATTTTATTTATTTGAAATCGTTCCAAGCTTGCCTTTCTCCTGATCATGTTCATTGCAAAAGCGCAGCAGCTGCTTTAGCTACATGATCGTGGCTCGGTTGTGCCTCGGTAGATACGTTCCATTGCGACTGCTGTTGTACGTGTGCTGTGAAAGTTCTGATTACCAGGAAGGACAATATGTATCCCCTAAGGCCAACGTGAGGTCACTAAAGTAGCCGATCGTGTTCAGGTACACACCACTCGGAAGGGTTGGATGCCATGGCAATTTCTGCTGTTGAAAAGGATTTCCAGCAGTGAAGGCTGACGTTCTCTCCTCCCTGCTCCCAAATTCCCCCTGAAATGCTATTTGTGGGGGAGTTGGAGCCCTGCAGTGTGTGTGTGTGGGGCGAATGTTGCTCCTTCCTTCCATCTGCAGAATTTCCTCCACTGGATCCCAACCCCCAGTTTGCCCCCTCTTCTAGCTTGCACGATAGGAGGTATCATTTAAATGACCTGCATTGTTGTGATTTTTTGCTGCAGAAAAAGTCATATAGCCATATTTGTGTGATGCAAAATCCAAAAAAAAACCCCAACCCCAAAACCCAAAATCCACACAATACCTTTCATTAGGACCAGTTGTTGTTGTTCAGTCACACAGTCGAGTCCAACTGTTCACGACCCCATGGACCACATCATGCCAGTCCCTCCTGTCTTCCATCATGCTCCAAAGTTTCCTTAATTTCATGTTCGTTGCATTGATAATACTGTCTAATATCTCATCCTTTTTCGTCCCCTTCTTCTGTTACCTTCAATCTTTCCCAGCATCTGTGTCTTCTCCAGTGAGTGTTCCCTTCTCATTTGATGGCCAATGTATTTGAGTTTCAGCTTCAGTTCTGTAA